TTAATGATGGGAGTTCCTTTCACTTCTGTCATGTGTCTTAAGATGAAGTTTATGTCATAACTGAGGTTATGGAAATATATTAAACTCTTGTCAGGAAGTCTTTCCAAAAATTCTGTTGCACAGTTTTGACCCCAAATACTTTCACTAACTGAACCATCTTCACTGTCATAACAGATGTTAAAAGCTTTATGAAAGCCATCCGTACTACACTCAAAGTCAGCAAAGAAAACGTGCTCAGGTATGAACTTACATTTAGCTTTATTTACTTCTTTTGACTCTGCTTTCTTCTTCAGTTGTACACAATACTTTGGAGCATATGTCAAATCTTTAAATGGTGCAAGGTTCTGTTTATATAAGTCAGTCGTATATGTGAAAAGTTCTCCATAAGAAATAGGTTCGAAATATTTGCACTCCCACAATGTTTTCATAACATCCCATAGCGGTGTAGTTCTATCCATGCGAACTACATATTTATCTTCTCTCTTTGTATATATATTTTCATCTGTTTTTCAATGTTCATTCCACCACACTCCTTCAAGATTTCTATATAGTTTCGAATGAAATATGTTGTCATTGGAAGTCTTTCATTTAGCATGTAGTGGTCTTCAACAAGAAGTAAGTCAATAGTTCTAACAGTTTCGCATTCTTTTGGTATGTATCTCTTTATTTCATTATGTCTTGAGTCATTGAAGTAACCAATGGTAACATTAAATGCTATACCTGTTGCGTCAGAAATTTGTACTTTACTTTGAGGAAAGTCTCTAACACGAATGACTTCTCTCATGTGGTCAATAGTTTCTTCATTTACTCCAGCCTGAATGCAAGCATAAACGAAACAATTGTCCTCTGTCATAAGTGTTGCAGTTCTTTTGTTCAGTTCATTGAAGATTTGGTAGCGTTCAAGATTTATAGGTAATGTGCAAAGATACTTCCAAACTGCCCGCTTCTCTTCTTATAAAACTTCTTTTCACCATTATCTTTCCAAAAGCTTTCTATAAGTGCTGGTTTCCTGTTTGCTTAAGAGCTTCCAAAATGGCTTTCTGGTCATTTGTCAGTGTGCTTTCATCTCTATATGGTCTCTTTTTGGTTTGCCTTTCTTTACATCTGACATCGTTAAGCCTTCATATTCTGTTAAATCATACATCTTTATTTCAGTAAGATTCTTTATGTTTGTCAAGAAGAAGTCATAGTGCATTTCAACAAATAATACCTGCAGCATTTGCTTCTATCTCTGATATAAAGTTCTCCTTCAAGAGCTGATGTAGTAATGTTCCAATATATTGAGGTTTAACGATAGAACATTCATACTTTCCACCAAGTTTTAACATACCATCCATCTTTGTTGGGAGTTTATTTTAATCTCTCTAAGAGTCTCATGAAAACCTTACCGAAATGTTTTGTAAGTAGTCTCTGTTTGGTTCATCTAAAGCTTCGATGTTAAAGTCAATGAGTCTATTGCCTGACTTCACATTCCTCTTCCTATTTTCTTCATCTTTCTTTAACCATCTCTCACCTTCTTTTGTTTGTCGTCAATGGAACGAATGACATTATTAGCTTTGCGAACTTGTCTATAGCACTTTTAAACATCTCTCTTCTCTGTTGTTTCAGTGTGTCATCTCTCTTTCGTGTTTCACCAACGTTTGCATGGGCTACGCCCGCGCCGTCATGCGGCTTTGTTATGTCAAACATTTCTCTTCTTACTTCATGTGGCAGCTCTTCTTGTTTCACCAACGTTTGCATTTGTTATGTCAAACATCTCTTGACGAACGTCATGTGAAAGAGCTTTACGAGTATGACCAACGTTTGCATTTGTTATGTCAAACATTTCTTTCTTACTTCATGATGGTATTGAACGTCTATGATATAAGTCAATAGCAACGTCATTTAAAGGAAATGCTCTTGCATGGACTTCGTCCTCGCCGCGTTGCGGCTTTATGAACTCATGAATTCTATCATAAGTTATTTCACCATTATAGTCATTGAGGATGTCAGCGAGTGCCTTTTTGTTTGTTGTGTAATGCTTGCAACATCTATATTAGCTTCTGTAAGAAGTTGTTTTATTTCCGAGTGTTCTAACTTAGACAACTTCCGATACATCTTTAGTAGGAAATAAAAAAAATATTTTTTGAAAAAATAAACTTAGAAAACATTATTTCTTTCTATATTTGCCATTCCGAACTTCGAAAGATGTTTTATACCAGCATAGAATTTTTCTCTAGAGCTTGGTCTTATATTGTTTTCATGACAATATTTTCTATATTCTCATATAAAGCCTTTTTCATACATTTCATAAGGACAATCTAACCAGAATAGTGCATATCCAGTTTCGTTATCTAGGTCTCTATATGTTTCTTCTGTTTGTAGAATTTCGCTTTCTTCTATTTGTAGAATTTCGCTTTCTCTATTTAGTTCTATGACTATATATTGTGGCTTAAAAAGATGTGGGCAAGAAGGGTCTGGCGCTATGTAAAAAGTTAATTTTTCTGTCATCTTTTCTATCGGATAAAAAATATTTTTTGAAAAAATTAGATTAGATTTTTTTAAGTTATTTTTCAAAATAATTTAATATTTTTATTTTAATGAAACACATGCAAGATTGCAAGTTCTTTTCATACAATGCTCTCGCTACTGTCATCAAGAATGAGTTCAATAATGCTTCAAATGTTAATGTTATCTTTAACAAGAAGTTTGTGAAAGAATCTAAGTTTGGTCAGTATGTCAGACCATTAGCTATGTCATTGACCGCAAACGTTATACTTCACAAGAGTTAGCAGTAGTTTTGAAACAAAAGGTTTCTTCGTGAATGTCAAAGATACTCATTATACTATTATAAAGAACTCCAACATTGACTTCTTCAGTATTGCTATGAATCTTTCCGAACAGAAAGAATATAAGAAGGGTGAAACAAATGTGAAATATTATTCTTCATCTCTGAAAACAATAACGAACAAAGATGTTATACAAAAGTTCTTACCAAAGGTTGAAGAAGCTTCTATTGACATTGACGAAGGAAGTGAAATGGTTGAAGAAATTGACCCTGACGTCATTTAAGCAAAAATATATTTTTGGTTAGTCTTCATATCGATATTTTACAACAATTCCCCAATGTATAAACTTTTCATACGCTTTTTCATAAGCTTTATATACCTTCAGAAATTTTGCATAATCTTTAGAAGCATTTAGATATTGTTTAAATGCTTTGTATGTCTTCAGAAATTTTGCATAATCTTTTACATGTTGTTCGTTCTCTTCTTCTGTCATGAGTTCCGAATATTCTAAATTCATGTTCTTTCATATGAGATAAAATTTTATAAAAAAATAAAATTAGCTTAGATTTTTTTATTCTTCCTCTTTGAAGTTATCGAAATATTCTGTTATTTTTTCCTTCAGTAATGTTAAGTCTTCTTTGAATGTAAGTATTGTGCAACCTTTGATGTCATAGTGTGTTTGAGGAAGAGTATTTTTGACAATTTCCTTTATTTGCTCATTCGGTGTCATTGAAATCGGTAAGTTTTCACGATAGAACCAGTTTCTGTCAGATTTGTAAATCTTAGCAAGGTCATAAAAGCTTTTGTTGTTTCTTCTGACTAAATGCAACATAACCATATCTTTATCTTCTTCTTTCTCCAACTCTTCAGTATATATCATATACTTATAACTCTTTTCCTTTCCTTTTGGTACTGAACGTGGTATTCTTTTCTGTATGCTTTTGTCTTTGGATTCAATGACTTCATCTTTTGCTTGAAGTTTCTTTTCCATCTCTCCACGTTCTTGTCTATGAATTTCGTCAAGAAGTCTGTAAACATGCCATGCATAACGAGGAGAAGCCCACATTGCAACTGCATTTACTAAAAGTCTATGAACATAATAACCTCTTAAATTTATTGGCAAATTTTTACGATTTTCATGTGTTTTATGCAAGACCGAAAAAAGTCGGTCTAGAGAAATTTCACTCAAAAGTTCTTGTGTGCTTTGGTTTTTGAACCAGTCGTCTGCGTGTTTAGTGTCTGGAGCAAAACATGCTGTCAAAATACTTTGCATTTGGTACATATCGTCTTTGACCGAACGAATGAGACGGAGTTGTTTGTTAAACTGAACCCACTCGTATTCTTCATTTATGGCTTCATGAACGATAGCAGTTGTTGTGTTCTCTGTTGTTGACATATCTGTCCTTACATACAAAATAAAAAAATAAATAAAAATAAAACTAACTTTATTTTTCTGTGTTAAAGAAATGTTAAAAATTCAGGGTTACATATGTGAAAAGAAGTCACGAACAAATGAAGGTCATAAGATTCAGCACATAATTCTGAATTGAATGGTGTGTCATACATGTCAAGCCGTCAAGAATTGAAGGAGATACGAGGCTATAAAGATTTTGGATATTTTCTGACACACACCCTGAGGGAAAAGTGACAAAACACGACGATAGAAAAAAGTGACAAAATTGAGAGAAAGTTGTTTCCCGACCAAAATGCAATCATGTTGAAAAAGTGACATTTGTAAAGTTAGACGATAGGATTTCCTGAAAAAGTGCAAGACTTGTTCTGAATCAGGACAAGATTTGTCTTGAAAAAATACAAGACTTGTTCTGAAAAAATACAAGACTTGTTCTGAATCAGGACAAGATTTGTCTTGAAAAAATACAAGACTTGTTCTGAAAAAATACAAGACTTGTTCTGAAAAAATACAAGACTTGTCTTGAATCAGGACAAAACTTTACAAAATGTAAACTTTACATAACCGTTTCTATCGTACATGATATTTAGTTGACATTGTAAACTATCTTCATGTAAAGTATGGCGGTTTGAAACCGTCGGGAACCTTCACTTTTTTGACGAACTTTCCGCAGCAATTTTTAAAATTTGTGAAAACTCAACGGTTTGACACGTGCCATATGTCATTTTACTCAGAATTTTGTGCTGAATTCCGCAAAAATAATGTTTATGTTAGCATGTTAGATCTAACACGTTTTCTAACCTCTTTTCTAACATAACTATTTACAAGCGTTTTACATGGTATATGTTGCGATGGTTCATGACTTTAAACAGTTTTGTAGCTTCTATTTCTTCTTTTAGTACATCGAATGTTTTAACAATGCCGAAGGTTTCTTTATATTTCTTCTTGACGTCAGATAGAAGGAAATCGTCAGCAGTTGGATAATTTTTGTTCAGAAATGCTAACATGTCCATTTTATCTTCTGCTGGCTTTTCTACTTCTTTCTTTAAATCTGCATAGTCGTTTCTCATTCTTTCTATCTCTTTGACGGAGTAGTTATATTTTCTTATTGCTGCTTTACATTTTGAACATTGCGGGTTCATTTTTGCGTTATACATTGAAATTTGACCTGCTAAAACAACTAAGGCGTCAATTGCTCTCTTCATCTCAAACATAGCGGGTCTTATTTGTTCGTTCCATACTTTGCCTCTTCTATCTTTATCTCTTATTTCCCAAACACATTCAGCAACTAATGAAACAAAGTTATCGTAGGTCTTAAATTCTTCAGATTTATATATGTCAGAAACATTCTTATAAACCATGTCGCAATCTTTGTCCATAACTTTATGGTTGCAATGAAAACCAAGGAATTCATAATTTACTTTACGTATGAACTTCTTTATTTCTACTGAGTCAGTTGTTTTGACTTCAATTTCGTCGAATTCAGGAATAGTTAGTTTTTGTTGTTGGATTTCAGGCAATTTGGGTAAATGGTCAATAATGTCCTGCATTTCATAAAGATACTGTTAATTTGTTTCATCTTTCGCACTACAGTCTAAATTACTTGTTAAAAGTTCTTGCTTTATCTTCTGGATTTTTGTTTCGAAAGTATATGAAGAAGGAATGAAGCTTTTCATCTCTACTAACATAGATGTTGGATTCATGACTAACGAGTTTGGTGCTGTAGTTTGAATTGTTGTTGTGCCGATTGTTGAAATCATATCTTTACATACAAGATAAAAATTTTTCTTAGAAAAAAATTAGCGTTATTTTTCTTTCATAAGGAAATGTCAAAAATTCATGATTTTCGAGAGTTTTAGACCATGTTAGAAAAGTGGTTAGAAAACGTGTTAGATCTAACATTCTAACATAAACATTATTTTTTGGTGTAAATAAATGGTACCATTAATGATATCATGACTGTTCTCATTCATGTCTGATTTACATCTAATGAAAAAGTTTAGAAGAATTTTCTTATTCTTTCTGGCATATTTTTGTCTTTCCAGTACTCCCGCTCTAATGGTCCCAGATGTGTTGGCTTTGACTCTCTCAAGTTCTTAGATGGTATAACATCTTCAACACCTCCTTCATATCTTACTTTATAAGTGTCATCGTTTATGTTGTAGCCAAGTATTTCAATAACCACTCCTCGCTTTGCTTCGTCAATGGTTTCAGCAAGTTTGCCATTACTACTTTCAACTAACTTATGTCGAGGGTAAAATGCTATGGAGTCGTCAGCAGCTTTTATAAGATATCCATTACCTTGTGTAGAGTCTACGATATAATAGTTTCTACTTAACCTTAAACGTTTCTTTGTCAACGGTTTGTCGTCAAGAACTACACGAACTTTTGTACCAGGAATGAGGGTAAATTGTGTTGAATTTCTGATATTTTGTGTTTGGCTTCGTTTCTTTTGTATATACTTTTCTTCTTGTTGTTGTGTCATTGAATTTGGTGTATGTCCTGTTGTAGAATGTGTTGAGGAATTATATACTTCGAGAAAATGTTTCATTGTTTCTTCGGTAAAGTCTCGCTCTTGATTTAAATCTCTGAGCGTTCTTATGAAGCGGTTTATGATGCCGAGTATGTTATGGTTATGGTCTTCAGTAGTGTAGTGAGTTATGTTATGCTTAATGAGAAATTCTGTGATTTCATTGCTGAGGTATGCACTGTCTTGGTCTGATGTTAAAGTACTTGGGTTATGTTCTGCTACAAACTTTTGTAAAACTCTTAACACTTCACGAGTTCCTTTATTTTTCATTGGATATGCATATGCTTTACGAGTGTTAACATTTATGAAGATGAGGAATGGTTTATGTCCTCCTTTTCTGCTTTGAATGAGAGTGTCAAATTGGTATGCGTCAGGAGTGTTGGAGTAAATTGGTAAAAAGTAGTCGTAAGGGTTTATTTTTGTTTGATGTACAACATTTTTGTCAAAGAACCTTTTCACTTCAGCTCTGTTAGTAAATCCCCAACTCTTTGCAGCTTCATTGAATTTCTTAAATGACCTCCATGGATGTTGTTCGAATACTTCTTTCAAGCTCATTTATGTAAAGTTAAAGATTTTAACCAACTCGTATCCAAGCGTGCATTGTTATATAAGGAGGCATATAATCTTTTCCATTACCTGCTGGGTCTGTAATACCAGCTACAACATGTGTATGATTTCCTGCAGTTCCACAGAAAATACCTGTGCTAACATCTTTGGGGTCAGTTGTGATATCATATCTATGCATTCCCTGTCTATCCGAACCCGCTGCAAGATTTGTATAACCTCTTTTTGTTATTGAATGTGAATGGTTTCCTTCCACAGATGTTCTTCCACTGAACCTATGCATATGTGAAGGAAGGTTTTCAATACCTATTTTCTTTGAACCTCCCATCTTCATTGACTGAGTATTAGTGTAGAATGGAAAACTGTCAACTATTTCATACCATCTACCACCAAATAAAGTGTTTGGATTTATTGGATTCATAGACGTATAAACAGCTCCTATAGGATATATTAAATCATATATGCTCATAACTCTATAAACATATTCTAAAGAACTTATGTCATTAAATACCATTTGGAATGTATCTCCCGGATGAAATGTTGCATTTGTTCCACTTTTATAATGTAATGTTAGTTCAATAGAATTATCCAAGAAAAATTCAAAAGTATCTGGTTGAAGACCTCTAACAAATTCAAATGGAGTTGCTGGTTCACCATTTATAATTTCTGTTGTAAATGTCATTGTATCTGGTTTCGAAAATTTCTTTGTTAGTTCTTCATCACATAAGTTTTGTCTGCTTTCTTATCTAACATTGTTGGTAGTTCATATGCTTCAAAGTTTCTGGCATGACTTTCAATGTTCCTGCAACTCTTATCTAAACTGTTAAGAGTATCTTTTACGCTTGTACTTGGATTTTCTAATGGTGCACTTGAACCAAGGTCAAAGTTCAATATTATGTCGTCTGCTCTAACAGTAGTGAAGGATTTATGTGTATGGTTCTTGTCAGCTTTACTGTCTAATGTAGCTTGAAGTTCATTTATATCGGAGATGTTGTGTTTATGAGATTTCAAAACTTTGTTCGTTGCTTCGAGTTCAACTTTGTCAGCTTTACTTTTAATAGCATCTTCAAACGTTATTTTTGCCTTAACTCTTAACATAAATCTTGGTTCAACTAATACACCGTTAACATTGAAAGTAGAGGCATAAATTTCACCGGTATAACCAAATGCTTCTGGTGCTTTAGCTACATCATACTGTACAGTACAGCTTATGTCATAACCTTTAGCACGAATGTATTTATATCTTCTTTCATTAACATTTTTTGTCTTCGCTTCATCACTTCGTGTTAAATATCCATGGTAGTCCGTTATAATCTGTTCGTCTGAAGTTATATAATGAACATGGTTCTTGTCCGCTTTACTATTTAATGTAGCTTGAAGTTCATTTATATCGGAGATGTTGTGTTTATGAGATTTCAAAACTTTGTTCATTGCGTCAAGTTCATTTTTGTCCGCTTTACTATTTAATGTAGCTTGAAGTTCATTTATATCGGAGATATTGTGTTTATGTTCTTTATCTGCTTTTTCGGCTAATTTCTCTTCTATCTCATTTATTTCAAGTTCATGCCTACCACCACCTCCCGAAGAAGTATTTTTCTTCAGCTCTTGAAGAACGTCCACTTCGCCATCTTTGGTGTCAATAATGAGACTTTGAGTTAAAACCTTTCCTGTCTTAATGGATGTTTGTAAAACTTCTTCTTCACCATGTTCGGGGTCATGGTCGTCATCATATCTTGTGAAATCAGAGATGTTGTCATACATTAAGCATATCTGTCTCAAAAGTTCTGCTATTTGAAACTGGAACGAAAGATATACAGAACTTTCATCATCTCCTAAAGTCAAGTCTGCTTTCTTAAGTATTTCTTGAATGTATGCAATGAGAACAGAGTACCTTGGAAAATATTCGAACAATATTTCATTAGCTGTTGGTTTTGGTGGTTCTTTT